TAACTAGAAATAAGACGTAAAAGACATGCAAGACATAAGACATGAAAAGAAAATAAAAAGTATACAGATTGTAATAGAAATAAACTATACCTATTTGTGGATGTCATAATTATCTATGTAGACAAATCCAAGGGATCTACCAAAAAAAAAGCCTAGACTTAATAAATAAGTTTAGTGCTGTCTTAGGATAGAAGATAAAAATACAAAATCAATTGTATTTTTATAAACTAGCAATGAACATTTGGACAACAAAATTAAAAATATATATCATTTATACTAAAAAAGCGAAATACTTAGGCACAAATCTAACAAAACACTTACAGGACTTGTACACTGAAAACTGTAAACCATAGAAAAATACCAAAGAAAGAAATCAAAGAAGATCTAAATAAATGGGTAGATATACTATGTTCATGGATCAGAACACACAATATATAGTGAATACATCAAATTTCTTGTAGATATAGAGAAAAGTATTCTAAAATATATATGGAAAGGCAAAGGAATTAGAATTTCTAAAACAATTTTGATAAAGAAGAATAAGGCAGAATGAATTAGAGTACTCAATTTCAAAACTTACTGTATAGCTACAATAAGCCAGATTGTGTGATATTAGTGGAAGGATAGGCACATAGATCAACGAAAAAAAATAGAGAACTCAGAAATAGACCAATACAGATACATCCAACTAATTTTTGACAAAGGTACAAATCAGTTCACTGTGTGGGTGTGTGGTGGTGGTGGGGATGGGGCGGGCAGGGAATGACCTTTTCAATATATAGTGCTGGAGCTATTGGACATTCACTGGCAAAGATAAACAATCAGCCTTACTTTAAACTGCACACCACTTGCAAAAATTAAATTAAAATGGATCACAGATTTAAGTATAAAACGTAAAAGTGTAAAACCTTTAGAAAAATAAGAGAAAATCTTTAGAATCTAGGGCTAGGCAAAAAGTTCTTATATTTGATGTCAAACACATAAAAGGAAAAATGGATTAATTGTAATTCATCAAAGCTAAATACTTTTGGTCCACAAAAGACCCTATTAAGAGGTTTAAGAGAAAGCTATAGACTGAGAGAATATATTTGTAAACCACATTTCTGACAAAGAACTAATATCTAGGATATATAAAGACCTCTAAAAACTCAGTAGGAAACAACAACAGAACAATCCAATTAGAAAGTGGGCAAAAAACACCAATAGACATTTTGCCAAAGAGGATATACAGATAGCAAATAAACAAATGAAAAGTTGTTCAACCCTATTAGCTGTTAGGGAAGTGCAAATGAAAGCCACAATGAGATATTATTACACATCTATCAGAATAGCTAAAATAAAAAATAGTGACACCACCAAATTCTGGTGAGGATGTGGAGAAACTCGTACATTGCTGGCAGGAATACTGTATTTAGCAATATAAAGGAACAAACTACTGATGCACACAATAACTTGGATGATTCTCCAGATAATTATGTTGGGTGAAAAAAAGCCAATCCCGTACATACTCCTGTATGATTTTATTTATGTAACATGTTTGAAGAGGTAAAATTATTGAAATGAAGAACTGGTGGCTGACAGGATTTGTGGGAGGTCGGGCGAGAAGTGGCCGTAGCTATAAATGGCACAGAAGAGATCCTTGGTCTGTATTTTGACTGTATCAATGTCAATATCCTGCTTGTGATATTGTAATATTGTATTACACTAGTTTTGCAAGAGTTTACCATTGGGGAAAACTGGCTAAAGGGTACATGGGTTCTCTCTATATATCATTTCCTACAGTTGTTTGTGAATCTGTAATTATCTCAAAAGGAAAAATTTAAAAACAAGAGTAAACAAATGAAAAGAAAAAAAGAGAATTACAGGGTGTGATGAGGGCTGTGATGAAACTAAACAGGGACATATGATACGGAATGATGGAGAGGGGGCTTCTTAGAGATAGTAGACAGAAAATGTCCACTGAGGAAGGGGTGACATTCACAGGTGAGAAGGGACCAGCTGGGCAAAGAGCCTGGGAAAGTCCAGGGATTCCAGAGGGAGGGAAGGCAATGGGGGAGGGGCAGAGAATGAGCTTTGGGTTTTTGAGGAGTGGAAAAGAGACCATAGGGCTGGGATGCAGAAAGCCTGAGGAATCAAGCTCTGGACGACATGTTATTTGAAAAAAGATCTTGCATGTAAAGTAGATGGAAAGGCGGGGATGTAGGCTTTTCTTCTAGCTCAGTCTGACTTTGCACCTGTCCACTCATTGACTGTCTGGCTCTGCTCCACCCCATATCATCTGTTTCTGGGGCCCCTGGGCTCTAGCAAACCCCCTCCCTCCCCAGGGAAGCTCCCTCCACACACTCAGTCATTGGACCCTACCACTCCTGAAAGGTATTTTTACTCAAGCCTTTAGTTTGAGAATCCCCTGCTCTGTCCCCTGACTGGGACATCAGGGTTGAGTCAGAGTTGGTCACCCTTAAGATCCTTGGCTATGAAGACTCGAAATTCGTGTCAAAACTAATTCATGCAAAAGAAGAGAGTTTATAGCAAGTAAACGTATGATAACTTTGGTTCCCAGTGACCAAAACCCAATTCAAACTGGCTTCAGGGTAGAAACAAAAGTCAAGGAAAACAAAATTAAAAAGAAAGTAATTGAGACTTCCATCATTGAAAAGTTCAGGGATAATGGCTTCAGCTCAGGGATCAAGCCCCTTTTCATGGCTCTGCTTTCTTTTGGGTCAACTTCATTCTCAGGCTGGGTGGTGGCAAGAGGGTCCCCAGCAACTCTTGGCTCAAACCTCACCAGCTTAGCACCACAGAAGAAAGATGAGCTTTGTTTCCCAGTAGCTTCAGCCAAGTTCAGGGGTGGAGTCTCATGAACCTGACTTGGGTCACGTGCCCACCCCCAACCAATTACTATGGCCAGAGAACAGCAGCATTTTCATTAGCCAGGTTGAGGTCATGTGCTCACATAGAGGTTGGGGTTGGGGCCAGCCCCACACAAACCTAATGGCCTGAGAAGAAGGAAGGAGTGATCCCTTAACAGAACCTTGGAGTGCAGTTACCAAAAGGAAGAATGGCTTATGATCAGGCAACACCAACATACTCCATACTCATGGAATCCAGAAAAAGCCTACTTGTTCATTCTTCATCCTCGGGTTCTGAGTTTCCACCATGCTAGTATAAATAGACATCCCAGGCTGAAGTAGAATCTTCAGCTTTGTTGCTCAGGAGAGAGTATCTGATTGGACCAGCTTTGGCCAGATGGTCAGCCCTTGACCGGTCATCTATGAATGGTGGGGGTTGGTGAGTAACACGCTGGACACTTTGGTGGAAAGGGAAGCTCTTAGAGGGGCCAGGTTGATGCCCTAAAACTGTCTATTACAGACACTCAGGGCTTCTGGAAGATCTACATCAGCTCCTTATCATGAAAGAAACGGGAACTCTTATCAATGGGTTTGGTGTTCAGGGAAACAGATGATCCTTTCGAGGATCTCTTTGAGAAAGGCTGAGTCCTCAGATTTTTTCCTTGCTTTCCTTCTGGGGTGCTCAGGGGCTGTCAAAGGGAAAAGCAGTGGGTGCAGGCAGTGGGCTTCATTGACCATGGGGAATGCAGGGGTGGTGATGATGTTCAGAGGCCAGCTGGGTGGGCTGGCATCGGGGAGGCCTGGAGCTCCCAGGCAATGCAGGGTTGGAACAACAAAACTGAGTCCCTGATTTGGAGGAAACCAGTTACCAAGGCAGAGACTGAGGAACAGGGATCCAGGAACCAGGCCAGATGTAACTGAGGCCAGGAAGGTACCCTACTCCTGGTACTAAATGTTGAATGCACAGTCTTGATCAGAGGAATCAGGCAGGCCATTTCTGGAGCTGGAACTGGGTCAGCTGAGTCTCCTAGCTCTACCCCACCCTTCCTACCTTTCCAACTGTGGATGGGATAAATTCTCCACGTTTGGGCTGGGCTTAGCATGTACATCAAATGAGGGCTGCCAAAAGTCCCATCTGTAGAGAAAGTTGTGGAGGAGAGAGCCAAGCAGGTCATTCATTATAACCTCATCTATCAGGGGGAGAGTTTACAAACCAAATCATATGGAATTGGGTAGTGAGGATGTTAATATTAATGATAATAATGACAGCAAGACTTTCTTGAGTGCCTACTATGTGCTGGACACTATTCTAAGATAGTTTTAGTGGATCATCTCCTTTAATCCTTGTAACAACCCTATGAGGTAATGCTATTGTCCATTACAATGACGTGAGGTACTGGGAGCAGTGACACATACCTATAATCCCAGTACTTTGGGAGGCTGAGGCAGGAGGATCACTTGAGCCCAGGAAGTTGAGGCTGCAGTAAGTTATGATCACACCATTGCACTTCAGCCTGGGCAACAGAGTGAATCCCTGTCTTTAAAAAAAAAATAGTCATGAGGAATGTGAAACAGAAAGGGTTGGCATCTTTCCCCAGGTCATACATGAACAAAGGTAACTTAACTTTCATAAAAAATGAGTTTTTAGGATGTCTGCCCCCATCTCCTTCTCCATCACCAACTCCAGCTAATCTCCTCATGCATCCTCATTTCTGCTCCCCAAACCTCCCACAGTTTGTGGAACATTCCCTGCTGTCTGATGCCTCCATGCCTTTGTACACACTATTCCTTCTCCTGGAATGTCCTTTCCCCTGACCAACTCTCACTCTTCTTACCAGGCCGAGCATAAGTGTCGCTGTATTTTGGGTAACTTTCCTTGATGCCAGCCCCCTTGGACAGAGTGATTCATGCTCTTCTTGCCTCCCCATAATGAACTCTGTTACAGCTGCATCACAGTGTGCAGATAATTCTCTGTCTCCCAGACTGTGAGTGGGGCAGGGACCAAGTCTTACCCTTCTCTATGGCAGCACCAGCTTAGGTACCAGAGGAAAAAGCAGCTGTGCAGGGATGAATGAATGTTTGGTGGGTGTGGGATTTTTCCTGTCCCTCACCCACCCTCACCATGGCATCTCTCTCCTGATCTCTTGGCAGCCTGGCGTGGGGCTCCTTTACCTGCTGCATGGCAGCCTCTGTCACCACGCTCAACTCCTACACCAAGACGGTCATTGAGTTCCGGCACAAGCGCAAGGTCTTTGAGCAGGGCTACCGGGAGGAGCCGACCTTCATAGACCCTGAGGCCATCAAGTACTTCCGGGAGAGGTCAGTGCACAGGGGGTTACCTCTGGCCACCACGGGGACTCTGAAGTCCATGGCCTGGCCTCAGTGGCCACCGGGCCCCAGTCGAAAACTGGAGTGAATGGTATGACAGAGGTTATAGAGGGGGGAGGCGGAAGAAGGTAGAGTTTGGACATCACTATGTCGGAATTTCTGGGATATTTTAATGTTTTATGGATCATGAGGTTGCTTTGGGCTTATGTGATCAAAGCACTAGAAACCCAGAAGGGAACCAAGTTTGAGCATTTACCATTAGGTCCTATGCTTCTTGGAACCATGATAAAGAGATAAAGAAGCTGAACCAAGGTTTCCTTCTTGGGCTCTGTCATGGCATTGAGTGAAAAGAGGACCCAGCTGTGGGACTGGTGATGGCTGCAGGAGGAGGATGGCTTCTCAATGTCAGGAACTACATGTAATCACCCGAGTCTTCAGAGTGCAGCTGGGAATAGAGGAGGTGACAATAAACAGTGGGTGGGTAGATGGATAGATAGATGGCTGGACAGGTGAGTGGGTGGATGGGTAGGTAGATGGATGGCTGGATGAATGGATGGATGAATAGATGAGTGAGTGGATGGATACGTGATGGATGGATGGATGGATGGATGGATGGATAGATGGATGATTGGGTGGATAGGGTGGATAGGTAGGTGAATGGATGGATGGACAAGTGGACAGACGGGTGGATGGATGGATGGATGGATGAGTGGTGGATGGGTAGGTGGAGGGGTGGATGGGTAGGTGGAGGGATGGATGGATAGATGGATGATTGGGTGGATAGGGTGGATAGGTAGGTGACTGGATGGATGGACAAGTGGACAGACGGGTGGATGGATGGATGGATGGATGGATGGATGAGTGGTGGATGGGTAGGTGGAGGGATGGATGGATGGATGGATGGATGGATGGATGGATGGATGGATGGATGGGTGGATGGATTGGTGAGTGGGTGGATGGGTAGATGGATGAATGGTTGGATGAACGGATTGATAAGTAAGTAGGCAGAGGTATAGATGAGTAGGTATGAGTGAAAGGACAGACAGGCAGATGGCTGGCTGGATGAATTTCAGGAGTTCAGACGCTGGAGATATCCTTAGGCAGAACTCCTCCCAGACACCTTCTTCTGATGAAGCCACTCAGAGAGAGCATCAGCAGCCTGAAACCTGAAATTTCTGAGCCCTCCCTCCAGGGGGTGAGTTCATTGTTACTGCTGTATCCACCTCACTCTGTACTGCTCTCCTGGCTTCACCCAGAACTGCTCCTGTGGGCCAGCTACCACTGCCACTCTCCAACCTAGTGCCAATCTACACTGTGCTAGCTGCTCCAGTCTCTTCTGGGCTGTCAGGGGCTGCTGCCCTCTTTAGCTCAGCCCACATCCCTAGAGCTGCTGTGCCTGTGTTTGTGGCAGGCCTTGAAGAATCACAGCCTATGTTACTCTTTCTGAGCTCTGTCTGTCTCCCAGGCCTATCCCAATCAGTAGCAGTATCTAGAGGTACCCACGAATGGCCAATCTGGCCTGGGGTCCCTATGCTCTCAGTCTCTCCTCTTGAGAGAGGGGATGTAGAACTGCAACCCTAAGTCAGAGTCAACCATCATAACTGCCATTTATGGAGCACATGTTGTGTGCCAGGCCCTGTGCCTAGGCATTTCATTTCATCCTTAAGACTTCACTATGCAGTTAGGCCTATTAGCCTCATTTTACAGATGAGGAAAACTGAGGCTTAGAGAAGTTAAGACACTTATGTAAGGTTGCACAGTGATGGAGGGGGAGCTGGGGCCCAGGTCTGCGTGCCTATTTCCTAGAATGAAGAAAATCAGAGCTGGCAGTGCCTCAGAATCAGGCTACCCAGATGCAAGAGGCAGCCCCAGGATTCAACTCAAGCAGCTGCTCGAGCCCATGCAGGTGCTGTTATGCCCTGGACAGATCTGCTCAGTACTTGCAGTTCATGCGCAGGTTGGGGGCTTCTCACAAGTCCTTGTGACTCTCAGCCTGAGGACCCTCTCTGATCCCAGAATCTGCTTTGCCCAACACGTGGGGCTTACTGGAATGCCCAGGAGACTGATGCTGTCAGGAGTTGCTGGGTGTTGAGGGATAAAGACCCACCTTCCCACCCTTGGTTGCAAAACAGCTTGGGGCATGCTTTGCTGTGGGACTGGTCTCCAGGTGCCCTTAGCAGGGATCAGCCTTTATCACATCCTCTACTGGCTCCGTCCCTTCCGTGTCGAACTTACCCTCTTCCCTACCCATTGTTCCTGGGACCACCTCCCCTCAAGAAAACTACCTGTACCCAAATCCTTATCACAGGGTCTGCTTCCGGGGGAGCTGAAGGAGAAGGGCATTAATGCCTTTCGGTGGCAGGGAAGGCATCACTGCACATCCTTAGCACTCAGCAGAGGAGGAGGAAAGGGACAGGAGGCTGCAGGGTGGGGCAGCATTGAGGAGCTGGACTCCCTGTGGGGCACTTGGGAGGGCTTCAGTCAGCAGAGAAGCATGGCAGCCCATGGGGTGGGGAGGCCCACACAGGTACTCTGTTACGAGCCCCTCTCTCAGCCTGCCACTGTGTCTTTCCCCAGCCACATCGGCCTCCTTTTCATCTCTCAGGCACTCGAAGTGCATCCCCACCTTGGGACCTTTCTACTTACCGTGCCTCAGGATGTTCCTGTGAGGCCTCTCCTAATCACTGGGTCTAAACACACACTCCCCACAACCTTATCCTAGATACTCTAGCTCGTTGCTATTTTTTATATTTTGGAGACAGGGTCTCACTCTGTTGCTGTATTAGTCCATTCTCATGCTGCTAATAAAGACATAACTGAGACTGGGTAATTTATCAAGGAAAGAGGTTTAATTGACACAGTTCAGCAGGGCTGGGGAGGCCTCAGGAAACTTACAAGCAAGGCAGAAGGGGAAGCAAACACGTCCTTCTTCACATGGCGGCAGCAAGGAGAAGTGCCGAGCAAAGTGGGGAAAAGTCCCTTATAAAGCCATTAGATCTCATGAGAACTCACTATCATGAGAACAGTATAGGGGTAATTGTCCTCATGATTCAATTACCTCCCACTGGATCCCTCCCACGACAGATGAGGATTATGAGAACTCCAATTCAAGATGAGATTTGGGTGGACACAGCTAAACCATATCAGTCACCCAGACTGAGTACAGTGACACAAGCACAGCTCACTGCAGCCTCGACCTCCTGGGCTCAAGTGATCCTCCCACCTTGGCCTCCCAAGTAACATGCGCCACCATGACTGGCTAATTTTTTTCATTTTTGGTAAAGATGGGGGTCTTGCTATCGATTGCCCCAGATCTCCTCAAACTCCCAGCCTCAAGCCATCCTCTGACCTCTGCCTCCCAAAGTGCTGAGATTACAGGCATGAGCCTCTATGCCTGGCACCGTTTCTATTTTTTCATAGCACCTGATACAATCTGCCAGGATTTTCTTTATTTGTTTGCCGGTTTGCAGACTGTGAGCTCTGGAATAGAAGACCTCTGCCATCTTGTTTCCCACTGTGAACCAGGCACCTAGAACTGGACCAGGCACCTACTAGGAGCTCATTTAGGGTTTTCTGGTGATTGACTGAACTGGACTCTCATCTTTGGAGGCTTCAGCCCTGGCTCCCTCATGCTCTTTTATTTCCATCTCCACCATCATCTCGCTGATTCAGCATCCCAGCACTTCCATGCCAAAGCCCCAGGAGAGAGGATGTGATCGCCCGGTGTAGGCCAGGTGTTCAGTCCCAGGCCAGGCAGCAGTGGCCAGGAAGATCCGGCTAATCTGGCACGCAGCTCACCTCGTCCGAGGCTGTGGATGGTGGCAATGCCCAGCCTGGCCCAGGGCCCGGAGTGGGCACTCAGCAAGTGTTTGCAGTAGACACATAAGCAACCAGATGGCCAAAGCTGCCCCGTTAGCACTGCGGTCAGTTGCCACCCCTGCTACGGAGATTCACCTCCTGCGGCATCTGTGGGTAAAACGCACCTCGTTTTGCTGAGGCAGAAGACAGGACCTCTCCGTACCCCATCAACAAGAAGCTGCTGTTTGCTGGTGCCCCATTTCCAATGGCTCCTAACAGCTCAGCCCCAAGATGAATTCTTCCCAGCATATGTGCGGAATATCACTTTACACATTCATAACTTGAACATTATGCAGAGGTTCATCAAATTTTATTTCCCTTCCCCTCTAAGGAGAGCATTTCAGCTTAGCCAGGCTGTTCTATTTCTTTCCCTTTTTTTTGTGCCTTCCCTACAAAGAGCTCGAAGCACATAGATGTCTGCATAGGTTTTCGGCATGGCTCAGATGCAGGGCTGACGTCCTACAGTGGCCAGCATCCCTGGAGCCGCAGCCAGGGACTCAAGGGAGGGCGATCCATGGCCCCACCTGCCCAGGTTTCCTTCTCCTCCATGGGGGACAGACGGTGCTGTGGAAAGAACAGAGGTTTGGAGTGAGTTTTCCAAGTCTGTCTCTTTGCTGCTATGTAATTTGGGGTGAGGCGCCGAGCCCCTCTGAGCCTGTTTCCTCTGACCCATGATGGGAGAGTCCAGAGCTCTTCGTGTTTCAGGGAGGCTCAAATTTGAAAACCCACGTGACGTGCCACGCCCAGTGCCTGGCACGTGGAGGGCTTTGTGTGTGTGAGTTCCTGTCCCTTCTGCTCCTAATGCCCTCACCAGACCCCAGAGTGAAGCGTGAGCCTGGTCATGACCAGCTTAGGATGGAGATGGCAAGGGTGTTTCGAATCATGGCTAATAATCATGTTATTATCTCTGGCCCTGTATAAGGCTGTCCTCTAAATACCTTAGATGTGACTCAGTTAATTTCTGCAATGCCCCTCTGAGGTGTAAGTGTTATTGTCACCCCCATTTTACAGATGGCAAATGGAGGCACATTTAGGGAGGGCAACTTGCCCCAGGTCACACAGCTGGTAAGTGCCAGAGCTGGGATTTAAGCCCAGGCCACACAGTCCTTCCCTGTGCTGTGTGGCCTCTCAGCCCTGATCAATTGTCTCTGCTGGGTATTGAGCTGGGACCTGGGCACACAGTAGGAGTGAGGGGAGTCCCATGGCTGAGGAGTTCATCGTGGGAGGGGCAGGTGAGGTGAGAGACAGATCTTGTGTGGGTTTCTGGGACGATGCACTCTGTGGGACAGAGCTCATGGGCTCCCTCACGCCCCCACCTTTCCTATCTGTGGGAGAGGCCTTTCTGGAGCCCATTTCATCCAAGTCTCTCCTGCTGTCCTCCTGGGGACCAGGGACAAGGTGATGCCCTGCGGGGGCTGATGGACAGGAAGGAATTAAACTGTCCCTTCCCTGCTTCTACCCCCACCCCCCACGTCCTGTTGGATTACCCTCTGCAAGAGCCAATTGCATGGCTGAGAAGCAGTTGGACAGATTTGAAATGGTTTTCAGAGCTGTAGAAGAAAGGCATGTTATGTGTATGTGTGTGCGTGTGTGTGTGTGTGCACATGTGTGCGTGTGCATATGCGTGTGCACATGGCCATGTGGAAGGGCCAGTATGCACATGTGTTGGGTTTGCTGGATTGGAGAGCCTGCACCCCCAAATTCCTGCCCCACCCCCTGAGAAACATCTGGAATTAAACCCTCCCAGCGTCACCCTGCCTGTCGTTCCCTCCTTTGTCTTAATCGGGCCTCCCGAGGGGAGGGTCAGATGCTGCTGAATGAAAGGCAAATATTTGCAGATTGGGGCTTTCTTGAATACGTAATGCTCAGATCTGGTTTAACAATGTGTGGAAGAAAATGAGACCTGTTGGATTGGATCCCAGAGGGAATTCAGCTGTGCCAAATGAGCGACCCGCCTCTCTGGGGAATGTGGTACTGTGTCGGGGACGGAAACTCCCAGAGCTTTTTGGGAGGGCAGATCTTCCTTCCTGGGACCCCTGAACCTCTCTCTGTACCACTTAGCACTCTCTGAAATTACTTGATTATTTATTTTCATGTTTATGTCTGGCCTGTTTCGGTGCACACTCCACGAGAGCGGGGAGCCTGCTTTTCCTGGTTTCCTCTCTGTCCCAGCACCTAGAACCACAGAGGCTCAATAAATTATGGTATTAATTATTAACAATATTAGGCCAGGCTTGGTGGCTCACTCCTGCAGTCCTAGCATTTGGGAGGCTGAGGCGGGCAGATCACTTAAGTCCAGGAGCTCGAGACTAGCCTGGGCAACATAGCAAGACCCTGTCTCTACAAAAATATTAAAAGATTAGCTGGGAGTGGTGGCATGTGCCTGTGGTCCCAGTTACTCAGCGAGGCTGAGGTGGGAGGATCACTTGAGCCCGGGGATTCAAGGCTGCAGCGAGCTATGATGGCGCCACTGCTCTTCCACCTGGGTGACAGAAAAGACCCTGTCTTGAAAAACCAAACCAAACAAACAAACAAACAAACAAGCAGTATTAATTCTATTAAGTATAGTGGAGAGTTATGCAGTGCCCCCTGTTGCAGACACTGTTTGAGTGCCTGGCTGACTTCATGCATTCAGCCCTTGTGGTACACCTGAAGAAACAGACCAGGGTTGGAATTAATTTTGCAATTTACTAGCTGTGAGTCCCCAAGTAACTCGCTTCACCTCTTGGAGCTTCAGTTTTCCTGGCTGGAAAATGAGCTAATGCCTACCTTGAGGCTTTGTTGTGAGGACTTCATGAAATGATACAATTACGTTTCTGGAAACAAAGCTGGGGTTCCCCTCTCCCTGCCTCCGCCCCCCTCTCCCCACCCCCGTTAGAGAACTCCCTCTGTGCAGGGCAAATAAGATACACTCCCCGCCTGAAAAGGGGGCCTGTAGCAAGCGGCAAATGGTAGTCCTTGGAGAATCTAGCCTGCAGATGTATTTTGTTTGGCTTGCATGGTGGTTTCAAAATTCTTAAATTTAGGCTGAGTTTTAAAAATCAGGAGATTTCATGTTAAAATACCAAGGTTTTGCAGAAACAGAAAAAGAAATATGGCATATTCTCACTTATAAGTGGGAACTAATCATTGGGTACACATGGACATACAGACGGGAACAACAGACATTGGGGACTGCAAGAGCGGGGAGGAGGGAGGCAAGGGTTGAAAAACCACCTATCGGGTACTATGGTCAGTGTTTGGATAATGGGATCAGCTGAAGCACAACCTCAGCATCATGCAATGCACCCATGTCATGAACCTGCTCATGTACTCCTGAATCTAAAAAGAAAAAACAAAACAAAACAAGAAAAGACAAGAAATCAAAAATCAAGGTTTTGGGCTTTTCATGACAAAGCAGAGATCTGGCCACACTGGGCCCCTGTTCCCGCATGGCAACAACAGGCTGAAACACTTGAGTTCACAGCCCCCTGCTCACACCAGAGCAAAGTGCACTGGGTGCCACAATCAAGTCTCCTGCAAGTGGCTTCAGGCAGGAGGGGCCAGTCCCACCCCAGTGGGAGGCAGAGGATAGAAGAGGCTTCACAGAGGCTGGGCACAGTGGCTCACTTTGGGAGGCCAAGGCAGGTGGATCACGAGGTCAGGAGATCAAGACCATCCTGGCTAACATGGTGAAACCCCGTCTCTACTAAAAATACAAAAGAAT